CGTCTCTTTTCTTCAAATTGAGAACTTGCTTACTGTGTAATATGTTATGTATTATATGTCAATAAAACGTAAAATAATTTTTGAATGTGGTAACAATATAATAATAATATTATTATAACAAATAAACCCAACAATAATCCTACAGCTGATATTCTGCATTCGTCTCATTTTCTCGAAACTTAGTTTTTTGAAGGTTTCACTTCTAACACGTGTGATCTGAATACATGATTTCTTATATAAATCTAATTTTTCAAATCACACTCATTCTATAGAACTTTTCACTTCAAAAGACGATTTGCAACGAATCTTGTTCTCTCATCCCGATAAAAATGAAATTTTTAGCCATATGTCTTGTCATATATCTTATTACCAATATATTATACTATACACATTCCATTTTTCTTTTTTTTTGTACAATTTTAGTACTAACATTGATAATCGTTTACAATGTAGCAAATGACTAACGTATAAATATAATCATTCATCGAACATTATTCGTAAAACGGAAAAATATGAGAATGATRCTTTTAATATATTTTTAAAATTTTCAAGATTCATGGTATAAAATTTACCAGCGGTAAGACGTAACGGCTCGTGTGATCTCATTATAATGAATGTTATACTTTTAATTGTACTGGGTGAACACTCGTACCAAGGAAAATGATAAATTACGTTGCAAACGTCCTGGGACAACGTGGACAAATATTCAYCGGTATAACTGTATAAGAAAAGTTGGGCCAATACGACCAAAAATGCTACAGTTGTTTTCAAAAGTTGTACCATGTCGTATTGTTTGGATAACAAAAGTATATGGATACCTAAAAATTAAAAACATTATTATAATCCAGACTTAGTTTTCGTATTCTAAAAGATTAAATTACCTGCCAAACAAATGTGCAATCCATCTGCCATCAAAACTGACAATAAAACATTGTTATAAGTGTTCTCTAATCTTTGAGCAAGATCCAAAGTGTGAAAATGTCTGTTAACAAATTCATTAATTTTTTGAATACGATCTTTTGATTCGTGGGATTGAAACTGATCGAAAAATATTTTCAGGGAGTGCAATTGGCTACAAATGTGCATGGCAATGCCAAAGAAGAAAACGTCATTTCCCATATCAACAGCTATGGCATTGATCATTTGAACAGCTTGAAAAACAAATACCGTCCAATAAGTGGAAGTTGTCATATCGCCAAAGATACACAATGTTCGAAGTGGTGTTTGTCTGAAAATTTCTTCTGTCGAATTTTCATTAACCGGTTGAAAAGATATCGCAGCCATCAAAGCATCCAAAGTCATCGCAGTTATTATAATCAAACCGAATCCCATTTGTATTCGGCATAAGAGTTTACCCTGGTATGTATACTTCCATAATATTTTTTTTTCCATTGAACTATCGACCAATGTTTTCCAATCCTTGAGAGCTGACAATAGAATTATTTGCAAATCTTCACGGTGTACTTTGACCATAATTAATTTCGTTAAGCCAGCAATTGTTACTGCGGTCAATGCAAAGAAATCCAAAGTTTCGTCAGCTGTTCCACAATTCAATCGAATTTCCATCAGAACGGAAACGAGTATGCCGAACTATGATAAATGAGACAATGGCGATCAATAAAATTAATTATTTTTTTTTTTTTTTGCACTCAAATGATCTGATAGAAGTTAATTCCTTAGAACATTTTTTTTCTCTCACTTCGTAAAAAGTAAAACATACCTCCAATGCAACTACTATGCCAAAACGTATAATCGTAAATAATTCTTCTTTTTTTAAAGATGGCCACGTGTTAGTAGTCCAAATATTATATTTGTATGTAAATAATATAGCATATTTTCTTATAAGATAAAATATTTTGTAGACTATATGACAATGTATACTTATTGACATTATAGTGCTATTCAGTAATGTGTTTTACGACTTTCCTATTCGAATGTATATTTTAGAATCGAAGTATACCTTCACTTTTATGTTATTTGAAATAAGCGAAGTTACATTAGTAAATGTTTTCCTCCAATAAAATTGTATTCCCAATTCAATTTATTTCTCTCCTGTCTATGGATATTTCTATCAACTATAGATTCGTATATTATTCATATCTCTGTTAAAAGAAATGTTGAATACGAGAAGGGTCTTTTTTTTTCATCTAAGTCAGTAAATGCATTTCTGATGGCCAACTGTTGTGTGATCAATGTTTTTATTGTGGGAAGTGTTTTGTTGGTGCAATATATAAAAAAATATTTGATCAAAATAATCGTTTAATAGAATCATAGAAAAAATCCAATTGAAAGAGTTGTTAGTTACCTATGATTAAAAAAATATTAAACTTTTTTCTTGAAAATTACTTTACTTTAAATTAACAATTAACACAAATAATTATTTTCTTTCATAAAGGTAAAAAATATTAAAATAATTATATTATTCGAAAGGATTTCGTGACTTTATTGGTTGAAGAGAAGTTATTAATTATCAAGTTAAGTCGGTGCCTTTTTTAACGATGACTCGGCCAATAAAAAAGAAACCTGCACAAGTTCTGAAATTTTTTAAAATCAGCAACAATTTGGTATGTTTCCAAAAAAACAAGAAGTGACAAATGTTATTACAAAGGGTCTAACATTATTAATTGATCAAAGTTGATAAACCTATATCGACTAAGGATCATTAATGAATAGGTAAGTTGATGAATTAGTAAAGAAGAAAGTAAACACGCCGACAGTCAATAATAGAATACCTATTCATTAATTAACAATGTAACTAACTAAATAATTTCTAACAATTGGTTAAGATATTACAAAATCCTTGTATATTACGTGATAACTACATATTACGTGATGCTTTTCGTGATTATATTCATTTTACATATTTTTAAATACTTATTAACCTTTTTTCTTTACAACAATAATACGACTAGTACATACATTTTTAATAACGAAAGGGTTAAAATTATTCAACAATATAATTATTTGATGCAACAACAAAATTTTCTACGAAAGTAATTTATTTGTTATTGATTAATAAATTCTTACTTGATACTTTATTGACTGTCGATGCATGCAGTTACAAATAAACCTAATGAAGGATACTTAAAAAGAAAAAAAACGAGATATACGTAAAATTTCAGGTGGATTCTAATTCATGAAATTTCATTTGCCGTTTTTGTAAGTCTCGTATAATTTTCAGAGACAATTTATGAAACAACGAAGAGCTTGTTCAGTCGTACAAAGCAACTCTCAGTACGGAAAAATACGAGGCTGAAGCTCTGATAATTTCTTTGAAAGTTAAAAGATTCATAGAAACAAATTTTCCTGCCGTTACTTGTCGTGGTATTCTACCATAAAACATGATGTAGGCAAGTTTTTTTATAGAACTTGTGTCAAAAGTGTTCCAAGGAGAATCGTAAACACCGAGAACTATTTCGGTTGTTTTAGATTCCAACATGTTACCTGTTTCTTCTTCTTCTTCTTCTTTTTTCCACAGGCACCATACCTGTTCCTTATCGCGACTTGCTTTATATTGTCAGACTGTCGCTTCAGCGCTTTCGAGGTCTTCCAACGCTTCGTCTCCCCGATGTTGAAGTCACTAATCTCGGGATAATTTGACCATTCGGTCATCTGTCATGCGCGTGATGTGGTCATTCCATTCAACTTTTCTGCTGAATTCCTAGTCGTTGATATTCTCGATCTGGCATGCTTTTCTGAGGTCTTCGCTTTTCACTCTTTCCTATAGTGATTTTCCAGCTATTCTGCGATATTCATTTCAGTTGTCTCCATGATTTGGCGTGTTTTTAATGTTTCGAGTCTTGTTTCTACCGCGTATGTAAGTATAGACGGTTTTGTATATACGAGCTTTTGCATCTATTCTTAGGTGTTTGTTTCGGAATATAGTGTCGTTTAATTCTGAGGCTGCTCTTGTTGCCTTGACGGCTTGTCTTCTTACTTCTGACTCTATGTCACCAAAGCTCGAGACTATTATACAGAAGTAATTGAACTCCATCACTTGTTGTATTATCAATTATATTCTTATTAATTGTATATCAATTATTAAATATATTACCATCTTCGCAAACATTTTCTTTGTACTTTTGTCGAGTATTATATATTTAAGGTAAGGAATTATATTTCTTCTTTTTGATGTATGTTACAATTGTGCTTACATGGTTTTTTAGATTTTTTTTATTGTTACTAATACAAATATTTAACAAGATTAGAATATAGACAATAGATTTAACAAGATATAGAAATTGCCTTTGATGGAAATCATAGGCTTTAAAAAGCTACATATGTAAATAAACAAAGTTTACTTTATAAAAAATGAATCTGATGAGACCAAAATGAGCATCTTAAATAACAATTGGTAAATGATAGTCAAAATATGAAAAAAATCAATATTATTATTTTTCTGCACTTAAACAAGATCCATTGTATTATTCTTCGAATACAATTCGTAAAACGGAAAAGAAAGAAAAGCACGTTTTAACAATGTTCTTGAAACTTTCAATGTTCATGATATAAAAATTACCAGCACTAATATTAAATGGTACATGGGTTCGCATAATAATAAACATAAGATCACGTACGTGACTAGGAGAGAATTCGTACCAGGTACAATTATAAATAACTTTGCAAACATCTTGGAATAATGATGACATGTAATCACCTGCATAACTGTAGAGAAAAATTTGTAAAAAGATGATGATTAGAATGGAACCGACTTTCGTCAGAAGAACTACGTCGATTGTATTGGAGAGAAAAAGAAATTGTATTCCTGAAAATATGWAAATATGATTAAYACAWAATAGTRTGKTATTTATRARGAAAAAAATCAARTACCTGCCAAACAGATATGCGATCCGCTAGTGATTAAATTGATCAAAAGAATATTGGTATAAGTGATTTGAATCAATTGACCCATTTCCAACAGATGTATGTGTCTACGAACAAATTTTTYGAYWTTCCTAAGCCGAYTYTTTTCGTTGTYYGTTTYRARCTCGTCAGAAARAATATTYAACGARTCTAATTGGCCACAAATGTGCATAGCAATTCCAAAAAAAAATACGTCATTTCCTATATCGACAATTATCGAATTGAATAACTGGACACTCTGAAAAATGAAGACTRTCCAATAAGTAGAARTAGACATGTTGCCAAAAAGACATATGGTCCTCAATGGAATCTGTCTGAAATCTTCTTCGTTGAATGTTTCATTGTTCTGTTGAATAGTTTTTGATGATGGTAAGGCATCCATAATCATTGTTGAAATGATTAAAAAACCTAAGCTCAATTGAAAGCGACACACAAATAAACCCCGATTAGTATATTTCCACGTGATTTCCTTCATCGACGAATTGTCAATGATCGAGGACCAATCCTTAAGTGCTGACAAAATGATTTTTCGTAAATCYTYTTGATGCAACTTGAYRARAACAAGYTTCGTCAGRCCYGTGATCATAGCTACCGTCAAACCAAAGAASTCYAGCGTTTKGTCGACRTCRCCACAATTTAGATAAATTTCGAGTAGTATAGAAGTTAGTATACCAAACTGCGATCAAACAACATACCAATTAAAAGACAAATAATACACAAAATAATATTAATTGCAAATTTATATTRTTAACACTAGATTTATATACTGAGAGTTATTTTGACTAGTTTCCAATTTTTTTGCTAAATATGCATAAAAATTAAATATTATTTAAAAAATATATATATTGGTTTATAGTTACGAAATGAAATTTTTAATAAATTTATTTATTTATTTAATAATTTAYATTATATATATTATTAATTAAATATAATTATATCTACCCTCTACTCAATCACAATGTTTGTAGGTCATTAAGAAAATAATGAACGAAACATCCTGTAAATCTAGTGTTAACAAAACATTTTTTATATTTCTTTCTTTTATTTTTCTTGGTCTTTCTTTCTTYAAAGATCTCTATTTTTTATTTTTTATTTTTTTTTCGAAATAAATACTACACGATAACTACCTCTAAAATGAAGGCAATAGTGAAGCGAATAATCGGGAACATTCCTTGATCCTGTAGAGGCCACGTACCAGTAATCCATGTTATAAATTTGTATGTTCTTAGTGCATACGTGGCGTCAGGATTCCAAACACCCTTATCCGTATCCATTTTTAGCGATAGACACACGGAGATACTATGTTTTTCATATGAAAGTGTGGAATAAAATAAAAGAGAACACTTTTCATCAAAAGTATATGGATCAAGTCGTGGGTATTATTGTTGCATGATCGTTAGGAATATGTTAAACGAAATTGTTGGGAAAGGGGTAAAACTAGGAGAATATGAATACTACCTTTGTGTTATTCGTAATCATATGCGCAACGAACTATGACCTTTTGCGCGTGCGTTTAACATCGTATACCATGTCGCATAATTTTATATAGGTTCAGCTTATATTTTCCATGCCATATGTGTAATCGAATTATAGCGTTTACCACCGATACAAGTTTCCTTTCTATGGAATTCTCTGAAATTATATTTTCAAAAAACGTTTTCTCTTTCTTTCCTGTTCTTCTTCTTGTTCCGTAAATATTTTTTCTTTACACTAACATTCGGATAAGATAAAACGTACTTTTCTCTACCCCCTACTAATGTATAATATTTTACTTATATCCGCTGATACAGAAATGTTAGAAGTTCACGCGTAGTCTTGTATCAAACAGACTAGGTAAAACAACTTGGAAASAAGTCTTCGTTGATACTGTGCGTGTATCTAGTGAATTTTTAGTTTKGTATATTTGAAAAGGTGATAAGAGATATAAAAAATACGTTTTAATCGTAGGAAATGAGATTTAAAAGCAAATCCCAAAGATGAATCAAAAACATAGTAAGTATGATCAATAAACTTTCTATAAATAATATTGCAAAAATATTGTAGAGTAATTTTCATTAGATTTGTATAAGAAAAACTGATTTTTAACGGATCTTTTTCTCTCTTATCACGATAAAAATGAAATTTTTAGCCATATGTCTTGTCATATATCTTATTACCAATATATTATACTATACACATTCCATTTTTCTTTTTTTTTGTACA